ATATAGTTCTTCTAGGTTTCTAGCAGAACCTTTGCGCGGCATGGCCACTCGGCGTGGTCGCTCTGCTGCTAGTGATGCCGCCTCGACACCGACGAGAAGTACCATTGATGCCTCTGATCAGGTGGAAGAGGTTGCATTAACTCCAGAAACCGAGTCCATTCTGATTAAAATCGTCAGCGAAAAAGGGGACGAGGTGCAGTATAAGGTGAAGAAGGGCGCTCGGTTGCAGAAAGTATTTGACGCGTACGAAAGGAAAATCGGTGCTACACCTGGGTCTGTCAGGTTCATGTTCGATGGCAAACGCGCTCAAGCGAAGGACACGGTTGAAGTGATTGGACTGAAGAATAACTCTGTTTTGGAAGCGCATACGTTTCAAATGGCAGGTTAATGGAAAGGCGAAACCCCATCAAAGGATTCAGATCCTTGGGGAGCAGTATTTTGCAGGATGGTTCTTATTTGCGGTGTGTCCTGGATCCTGATCGGGCCTAGGATATGGTAGCTAGTTAGGTTTGACGATTTTCTTCTGACTTTTGTTAAGATTGCCCAGCCCAGGATAACCTGTGCTAGGTTTGCCGACTAAGGACGCTGTGGGTGGGTCCAGGGCTTGCAGTAGCTGACAGCCATGTAATGACAGTTACTAATTTTTGCTCCAACCAGTTATTGTGAGAAATTATGTACCCGGTAGGTACAGTTCAAAACTAGCAACCAGTATCTGTATGAAGTCTCTGTATGAAGTTTGGTTAGACCACCTCTCCATTCCAGGGTGGGCCCAACCCAAATTGAAAGACTTTCATAACAGTGGATTTGATACCGTGGTTGGATTGGATGTGTGTGTTCTTACCGTATTTGCAGCTTTATTTCATAGTGGGCCTGCATCTAGCTGCAACAATAGCACGGACCTAGACTAACAAATCAGTGTCATCCCCCCAAAACGCCTCGGGTAATAGCCTTACATTCAAAGAGAAAGGCTGCAAATGGGCTGAATCAGCATAGAGCGGAAATACCACTTTGTAGGGAGGCCGAAGCAGTGCCATGTACGGTATGCTACTGCGCTGAGCAAGTGCGCATGACATGGCACGCCGGGATTATTAGACAAGTTCTCCTCGGGAATGCCGCTTGCTTGAGGTGGATCCTCTTGCTCTCAAGCCCCTTCACTTCCCATTCCCTCTCCTCTACTACCGTACGATGAGAAAGCCTGCATGGCACGTTTTAAGAGAACTCCTCCTCTATAATGCCGCTTGCTTGTGGATCCTCTTGCTCTCAAGCCCCTTCCCATTCCCTCTCCTCTGCCCTGCTCCACCAACCCCCCCACTCCCATCTCCTCCACCCGCTCCTCCTCCCACATGCCGCACCACTGCCGGAACCTTCCCGTGCCACTCCCACACGCACATGCGCTGCTCCGCATCATAATGCCACATGTCATTCGCCAAAAACCGCCTCATCTTCTCCTCCCTCCCAGAAATCCAGTTATTATGCAGAATAGAACACCCCACCTTTGCACAAGCCCTCCGCACATCCTTCTGCTCCAACAACCCGTGAACCGCCCCATTAGGGTATCTAGCTCTGTCGAGAAAGACCGTTCGCAGCCCATTTTTCCACACGCACTCCTCCATTCCTGCAGCTACTAGCTCCCCTGCCTCTCCACAAAGAACGTCGTAGAAGCTTGGCTGTTCGGACAATTTTGTCGCTGCTGCGTGTGCCGTAATCGCCTCAAACGCCGCGATTGTTTTCCGGTCTGCCCGGGCAAAATAAAACCCCGAGTTGATCCTCCGAACGCCAGTTCCGGGCAGATTCGCGTCCGGCTCGTTGCTCTGGATCGGGAGCGTTCCCGGGCCGAACGAGAGCAGGTCCGGGAGAGGATCGGTGAACCAGACAATGTCGACGTCTGTCCAAAGGACTGAGTAGCCGGCGTTGAGGACTTTGAGCACGGAGCGGGACTTGAGTTTTGTGAAGTGGCGGAAGCACTGGCTGCCATAACCACACTCTGATGCCCGCATGTGCTTCACCTCCTCACTTGCCTGCTCGTAGTACACAGGCAGGCCCTGCGTGAAGGCGAATCGGTACAAGTCCTCGTCAAGCGCGGCAACGAGGAGGTTGGAGGCGAGGCCGAGGGAGCGCAGGCGGCACACGAAGCTCATCAGCATCTCCGCGTACCCCGCGGTTACCGCCACTAGGGTTACCACGTGCAGCTCTCCCCCCCGCCCGTCCGGGACCCTGCGGGCCAGCACTGGTAGTAACTGCTCCATGGTGTGGGGGAGACCCACTGGAGAGGAGGATGGGGAGGAGGAGTTGGTTGAAGCTCCTGCATCGTTGCTGCTGCTGCCACCGGTGCTGTTACCGCTGCTGTTGCCGCTGCTGTTACTGCTGCTGTTACTACCAGTGGTGGTATTGGAAGAGTCAAGAGCGCTGTGTGGGATGGCGTGGATGGTGTAGTCAGTGGCGTTGGCAGGGGCGACGGAGCCGCATGTCAACTGGTTCGTCTTGGCGCTCAGGCGAGGGTCCGTCTGAGAAGCAGCGACAGAGGAGGAATACTCGCAGGAGCAGATAGCTGGGCGCAGGCGCCTCTGCAGACACAGGAAGTTGGCTGGAGGGGAGGGGGAACGGGGAGGGGGGAAAGAGAAGCAGAACGGTGAAATGGGGAAGCAGTGCATTGAAACCCTGTACCTGCAAATCGATATCAATCGGATAATGAAACTGACACATCCACAATAGTAAAATGGGGAAGCAGCTCACCAGATGCTTCCAGGCAGTTCATCAGCTTGATGGGAGCCAGACGAGACCGCAGGACACGGCAAGACCGTGGAGGAGTGCGCAAGGACTGGACCCCCAGAGGGGTTTGCCAGGGAGACTGCAACCGGCCGACGGAGCGGCGTGAGTGTGGTGCTGTCGCGAAAGAAGGAGCGGGAAGCACCTGAGTCAAGTGTGAAGGTGTACACGGCCTCAGCAGGCGCAGTACCAGAGAGAGTAGACTCACCAGCACCTGGAGCAGCAGCCTCACCAGTACCTAGAGCAGGAGACGCACTAGCACCTAGAGCAGCAGCCTCACCAGCACCTAGCGCAGGAGACGCACTAGCACCTAGAGCAGCAGCCTCTATACCTGGGTCAGGCGGTACGCACAGGGAACAGACACGGTCATCACTAGTAGGCAATGCATACATGGCAGTGAGAATAGCATCATAGTCAAGAGCAAAGATATCTACCCCCTGCCCAAGCAGCTCCAGCCAGGTGGGGAGCTCAGCCTCGTCACCAAACTCGGTGCGCCAGTCGTCGCTCAGACGGGCGAAGCAGCGGGACTGGGTGTGACCAAGTGTCCCGCAAGCCTGACCAGTCCGATCACCTGTGCGTGGGACGTACGGGCAGCGAACGGTACTCCGAGACCCTCGACTCTGAGCGTACCACTCGTGAAGCTGCCGGGACGTAAGTGTCTCGCGCGGACGCCGCTGCAGCTGCAGCTGGCCACTGCCAGACGCTCCCGACCGACCAGCTCCAGGGCGACAGTCACGACGGCTACCGCCACAACCCCAACTAGCGTACCACTCACGAAGCTGCTGAGGCGTGAGAGACTCGCGCGGGCGTCGCTGGGGCTGCATCTGGCCACCGCCAGTAGCAACAGTAGCAACAGTAGCAGCAGCAGCTCAGGCAGGGGAGGCGCGGCAGGAGCGGCAGGCAGGCAGGCAGGTAGACAGGCAGGCAGAGGGCGCTGCAGTGCGCGAACAAGGCAGGTGCTCACCAGTGGCGGGCAGGGCCGGCGCTCGGCGGGCGGCGGCAGGGTAGGCGCACGACGGCGGGGCCGCAGCAGCAGCTGCAGAGTAGGGCCGCGGCAGCTGCAGGGCGGGGCCGCGTCAGCTGCAGGGCGGGGCCGCGGCAGCGGCAGGTCGGGGCCGCGTCCGCTGCAGGGCGGGGCCGCGTCAGCGGCAGGTCGGGGCCGCGTCAGCTGCAGGGCTGGCGGGGCCGCGTCAGCGTCCGGGTGGGGCCGTGTCGGCGGCAGGGCGCGGCCGCGTCAGAAGCAGTGCGCGGCCGCGTCAGAGGCAGGTGGGTCGCGGCGCGCGGGGCTGCAGCGCGACGCGCGGGCAGCGGTCGCGGCGCGCGGGGCTGCAGCGCGACGCGCGGGCAGCGCGCGCGGCGCGCGGGGCTGCAGCGCGACGCGCGAGCAGCGGTCGCGGCGCGCGGGGCTGCAGCGCGACGCGCGGGCAGCTGTCGCGACGCGCGAGGCTGCAACGCGCCGCGCGGGCTGCAGACGCGGCGCGCGTAGCAGCAGCGAGCCGCGCGCGGGCTGCCGAGGCGCGACTCGGGCAGGGTGGGCGACTCGTGGGGCAAAAAACGAGTCGCGCGCATGAATTAGGTCTGCGCGCTCTAAGCAGCAGCAGATCGCACAGTCAGCAAACAGTAGGCAGCAGGCAGACGGCGCGCGCAGCGCAGCACGTCACAGGCAGAGGCAGTCACAGTCACAGTCGTGGGGTAGCGGTAGGTGGGCCCGAAAAAAAAACGGTCCTACGGACCTACTGCTCTGAAACCATGTCAGAATCAAGAGACAGGAATGAATGAACTATGACAGAGTTGGGTACAAGTATGAAACCCTAAAAGGGGCTGTACCCCATATTGGCTACCCCACTACAGCCTACACATGTATAACAAGCATATGCTTTGACACTAGCTGCAACAATAGCACGGACCTAGACTAACAAATCAGTGTCATCCCCCCAAAACGCCTCGGGTAATAGCCTTACATTCAAAGAGAAAGGCTGCAAATGGGCTGAATCAGCATAGAGCGGAAATACCACTTTGTAGGGAGGCCGAAGCAGTGCCATGTACGGTATGCTACTGCGCTGAGCAAGTGCGCATGACATGGCACGCCGGGATTATTATACAAGTTCTCCTCGGGAATGCCGCTTGCTTGAGGTGGATCCTCTTGCTCTCAAGCCCCTTCACTTCCCATTCCCTCTCCTCTACTACCGTACGATGAGAAAGCCTGCATGGCACGTTTTAAGAGAACTCCTCCTCTATAATGCCACTTGCTTGTGGATCCTCTTGCTCTCAAGCCCCTTCCCATTCCCTCTCCTCTGCCCTGCCCCACCAACCCCCCCACTCCCATCTCCTCCACCCGCTCCTCCTCCCACATGCCGCACCACTGCCGGAACCTTCCCGTGCCACTCCCACACGCACATGCGCCGCTCCGCATCATAATGCCACATGTCATTCGCCAAAAACCGCCTCATCTTCTCCTCCCTCCCAGAAATCCAGTTATTATGCAGAATAGAACACCCCACCTTTGCACAAGCCCTCCGCACATCCTTCTGCTCCCACAACCCGTGAACCGCCCCTGCAGCTACTAGCTCCCCTGCCTCTCCACAAAGAACGTCGTAGAAGCTTGGCTGTTCGGACAATTTTGTCGCTGCTGCGTGTGCCGTAATCGCCTCAAACGCCGCGATTGTTTTCCGGTCTGCCCGGGCAAAATAAAACCCCGAGTTGATCCTCCGAACGCCAGTTCCGGGCAGATTCGCGTCCGGCTCGTTGCTCTGGATCGGGAGCGTTCCCGGGCCGAACGAGAGCAGGTCCGGGAGAGGATCGGTGAACCAGACAATGTCGACGTCTGTCCAAAGGACTGAGTAGCCGGCGTTGAGGACTTTGAGCACGGAGCGGGACTTGAGTTTTGTGAAGTGGCGGAAGCACTGGCTGCCATAACCACACTCTGATGCCCGCATGTTCTTCACCTCCTCACTTGCCTGCTCGTAGTACACAGGCAGGCCCTGCGTGAAGGCGAATCGGTACAAGTCCTCGTCAAGCGCGGCAACGAGGAGGTTGGAGGCGAGGCCGAGGGAGCGCAGGCGGCACACGAAGCTCATCAGCATCTCCGCGTACCCCGCGGTTACCGCCACTAGGGTTACCACCTGTAGCTCTCCCCCCCGCCCGTCCGGGACCCTGCGGGCCAGCACTGGTAGGAGCTGCTCCATGGTGTGTGGGAGACCCACAGGCGAGGAGGATGGGGAGGAGGCAGAGGATGAGTTGGTTGAAGCTCCTGCATCACTGCTGCTGCCGCTGCTGCTGCTGCTGCTGCCACTGCCACTGCTACCACTGCCGTTACCGCTGCTGCTACCACCAGTGCTGCTGGTATTGGAAACATCAACTGCAGTGTGTGGGATGGCGTGGATGGTGTAGTCAGTGGCGTTGGCAGGGGCGACGGAGCCGCACGTCCACTGGTTCGTCTTGGCGCTCAGGCGAGGGTCCGTCTGAGAAGAAGCGACAGAAGAGGAATACTCGCAGGAGCAGATAGCTGGGCGCAGGCGCCTTTGCAGACACAGGAAGCTGGCTGGAAGAAGGGGGGGGAAAGGGAAGGGGAAAAGGGGAAGGGGAAAAAAGGAAGGGGAAAAAGGGAAGGGGAAAAAGGGAAGGGGAAAAAGGGAAGGGGAAAAGGAAGGAGGGATTTAAAATGCGCGAGTATTGAAACCCTGCATTTATAAAGCCATATTCATGAGAATTAGATGCTGACACATCCGCAAAGAGGAATAACTGACTCACCAGAAGCTTCCAGGCAGTTCATCAGCTTGACTGGCACGTGGAGAGGTGTCCCTTTCTGATTGGCGTACGTCCCGTGTGTATGCGCCAGGTGGATATTCGCGAACAGCTCCCAGCTACTGTTCATCCTCGTGCTCCAGAAGCTTTTTCCCGCCAATCCCGCCGCGTTTTTCGTGAACGCCGACTCCATCACATGCGAATAGGAGTGCGCCACGTGTACGGCTGTCACGGCCTCGCTGGCGTCGACGATTTCGCGAAGCCCCGACGAGATGATCTCGTGCGTCAGCCAGTTGTCGTACTTGCCGCGGCCGTACGAGAACGGCGGTACGGTTCCTCTCACCAGAGGAACCGGCGTACGGTCGTCGTTGTTCCACGCCCAAAAGTCGACCCCGCCGTACGTGTGCAGCGTCCCGTGCGTACGTACGAACTCGCGAATCGTCGTTTCATGTTCCCGGTGCCCGCGCCCCGCCCACATTTCCCGCTCGAACGAGTACGGAAACTCCTCCGGCATGTCCCACCGCGCCGCGGTCATCACCCAGTGGCGAAAGTTCTCGTGAACCTTCCGCATCGCAGCCATGACGTCATTCATGAGAATAATATCCGCGTTAATCACCATCGAGACGGGCGTGTCCGCGGCTTGAGCGCGCGCGACGACGCTGTGAACCTGCGGCACGCCGTAGAAATTCGTATCGATGGACGACTCGACCGTTACGTGCGCGGGGAACTGCCGCGCGAGCGCGCGGAAAGAGGAGTCGTTCCCCAGGAGAACGATTTTGGGGGACGGGCGGAGGCGCAGCCACGAGAGCAGCGCGCGGCGCTGCGGGTCGGCGTGCGGGGAGGACGGGTCGAGGATGGACGTGTAGGGCTTGGGCGCGGTGAATATAGTGAGGAATGGGCGCTGCCGCTGCTGCTCTTGCTGCGCTTGCCGTTGTTGAATGTGCTTGTATGGAGAGTGCTTGTTCGCCGCGGCGGTGGCGACAGGAAGGGTGACAGTGATTAACACCATCATGGTGACAGCACGGGTGACTGCTGCTAGGAGTAAGGATCTATGGGGCGCCTTTCGGCCCATTTTGAACTCTGCTGACTGCGCGTTGATGTAAAAATGATATAGTGTTGCGGAAGAGCCGGAAGGTGGTAGGCGACCGTGCGTCTTGCGTTTCGAATTCCGTAGGGGGAGGCTATGGACAGCAGCCTTCTGTGTGGCGAGTTATAACCACTTATGATGTCGATTGACAGAAGTTGACAGGGACCGACGAATGTGAGAATGTTAAAATTTTGGAGGTACTTATCGGACTCCCGCATATGGAATGCGATAAGGATAACCGGAATGTCACGACGACTCATGCATGACTCATGACTCATGACTCATAAGCCACCTAAGGGAGGGGTAAGCAGCATTCTAGTTTGACGGCGGGGAATAAAGCATTGCAAGAGGCGCGATCCGAATGGTGTGGTGGATAAGGCTTAGCAAGTTCAGCGATAATTTGTTGACGACAACGAATAACGATTAGAGGCGAAGGCATGTGCGAACTAGAATGCAACTTGTTTCACTAACGACTCTGCTTTGCGACACCTCTACCTTGCTCTTTTTATATCGGCAAGATAACTTCGCTGCTTGTGATTACTTGGCGAATATTTGAGGTCAAGGTTACGCAGCTGGTCATGTTTGGGTAGCTTTGGACATCGTGTGTGCGTGCGTGTGGTGGGCAGGCTGGCTTTGCCTGGCAGCACCAATCACAGTGTGCGAAGTCAGCGAAAAATGTTTCGTCCAACCTGACCACATTGCCTGATGGCATCCATAGGCGAAGTGAGGCAAACATGAGCTGGCCATTTTCACAGGCACCGTCATGTAAGTAGCCTCTATACGCTGAAGAGTTCGAAGGCGAAGTGTCCTATTTTTCGTTTAAAATTGTCGTAATACAACAGGACCTAGGTATTGCTAATTTACAAATCCACAAATACAACAGGACCTGGTTGATTGTTTCACAACTTGCTTATTTCATGGCTGATATTCTGCTCCCTGCGCCTTCTCTTTGAGTTGCGCCGCTATGCCACCTCCACATGCACATTCTCTTCTCGGCATCATAGTGCCAAAAGGAGTTCACCACAAACCGCTGCTTCTTGGCATCCTTCCCAGCAATCCAGTTGTTGTGAAGAATAGTGCACCCCTTTCTCCTGCAAGTCCCCTCCACATCCTCCTCGTCCCAAAACCCATGCGCAGCACCATTGGCATACACCACTCTATCAAGGAAGATAGTGCGAAGGCCGTTTTTCCACACACACTCCTCCTTCCCTTCCACAACGTTCTCGCCCTTCACCCCGCACAGAATATCATAGAAGCTTGGCTGCTCTGACAATCTCGTAGTAGCTGCATGCGCAGTGATTGCTTCAAACGCTGCAACTGTCTTCTTATCCGCCCGAGCAAAGTAGAACCCTGAATTAATTCGCCGAATGCCGGTCCCCGGCAGAGTTGTGTTCGGCTCATTGCTCTGGATCGGGAACGTTCCCGGACCATAAGAGAGCAGGTCCGGGAGAGGATCGGTGAACCAGACAATGTCGACGTCAGTCCAGAGCACAGAATACCCTGCCTTGAGCACCCGAAGCACAGCCCGGGATTTCAGCTTAGTGAACTGCCTGAAGCACTGGCTACCAAAGGCACAGTCCTTAGAATCCACACCCTTGAGCCCCTGGCTGACTTGCTCGTAATACACGGGCAGGCCCTGAGTGAAGGCGAATCGGTACAAGTCCTCATCAAGCGCGGCAACGAGGAGGTTGGAGGCGAGGCCGAGGGAGCGCAGGCGGCACACGAAGCTCATCAGCATCTCCGCGTACCCCGCGGTTACCGCCACTAGGGTTACCACCTGCAGCTCTCCTCCTCGGCCATCTGGAACGCTCCGAGCGATTGTGGGAAGTATTTGCTCCATGGTGTGTGGGAGGCCTACAGGGGAGGAGGCAGGTGGAGGAGGAGGAAGAGTGGGGATACTGTAGTCCGAATTCCTGTCCACTGACACACTGCCACATGTCCATTTCCTGCCCGTTTTATCCAGCTTCGGGTCGGTCTGGCTGGACCGGACGAAATTCGCGGATTCGCAGGTGCACGTGGCGGGGCGAAGGCGCTGCTGCAGGCACATGTTGTGCACGGAGGGCTCATGACACGTGGCGAGCTTCCAGGGCACGTGCAGCGCGGTGCCCTTCTGATTGGCGTACGACCCATGTGTCATGGCCATGTGGATGTTGCCGAACAGCTCCCAGCTGCTCTTCTTCCGCGTGCTCCAAAAGTTCTTCCCTGCTGCTATTCCGTTACCGTTTCCGTTACCGTTTCCGTCCTTCCCGCCGATGCTCTTGGTCGCGGCTGATTCTACCACGTGCGAGTAAGAATGCGCCACGTGGATCGCCGTGACTGCCTCGCTGGCGTCGACCATGGTCCGCCGTCCTGCCGCCACGATCTCGTGCGTGAACCAGTTGTCGTATTTCCCGCGCCCGAACGAAAACGGCGGCATAACCCCGTCGAATAGCGGCGCGGGAGAATCGTTGTTCCACGCCCAAAAATCCACGCCGCCGTACGTGTGCAGCGTGCCTATATCGCGTACAAACCCGCGGATTTCCTCCTCCATCGCCGCATGACTGCGCCCGCGAGCCAGCCCCCGCTGGCCCCACATCTGCGGCTCGAAGGAATACGGGAAATCCTCCGGCATGTCCCACCTCGCCGCGGTCATCACCCAGTGCTGGAAGGTTCCGTGCGTCTTCTGCAACGCGAGCATGACGTCATTCAGGAGGATGATGTCACCGTTGATGATCATCGAAATGTCGGTCGAAGCGGCCTGGGCGCGCGCCACCATGCTGTGAAACTGCGGCACGCCGTAGAAATTGCTGTCGATCTGCGGCTCGACGGAGATTTGCGCGGGAAACCGACGCGCGAGCTCGTGGAACGACGTGTCGTTTCCGAAAAGGACGACTTTCGGAGGCGGAGAGAGGCGCAGCCACGAGAGCAAAGCGCGCCGTTGCGAGTCGGGGTTTGGGTCCGAAGGGTCCGCGATTGACGAGTAGGGTTTCGGAGCGCAGAAAATGGTGAGCGAAGGAGCCTCGAACTGATCGCTCGGGTCTCTGAATTGGTCGCCGTGCGACTGAAAGCGATCGCTGGACGACTCGGAGCGATCGCTCGCGGCGTCGTCGTAGCCGCTCTGGATGAGACTGCCCCGCGAGATGCCATTGGCGATCGCGAACGACGTCACCTGACCGCCGTATAAATTACGTCGGGTGTCTGCTCCGCTGCCGGCAGAATCGACGGAATTGACAGAGTTGTCGCTCGAGGAGCCTTTCTTGAAGATGACGGAGTGGCTTCGGTCGGCGAGCAGCGCTCCGTCGCGAAGGATTCGCTCGCGTGGGGTGAGTCGGCGATCGTTTAGGGAGGAAAAGGCTGACGGGAGGGAAGCGCAGAAGAGAATGAGAAGGTAGAGGAGAGCGAAGGCGCGGGTAGTTTGCGCCATCGTTTCTCAACGTGGTGCGCTAGCAAGATGCGCGAGGAGAATGAAAGTTCAAATACAGTCTACCTGTGCAAATCTAGTTGCGGGAGGAGATCAATATAGCAGGTGCTACGATCACTGGATGACGGGATGAATTTGGCACAGGCGTCAGCTAAGAGGCGTTTTCCCGTCCAGGTTTTAGTAGCCTTACTGGACCAAGCCCAGCTGATTCTGCAGGAATAAACACCTAAGGCTTTGAAAACCGACGAGGATGACGCTACACACAAGAGTGGCTGGCGGGATTATGCTGCTTTGTAGTCGAAGCCTGTCGGGAGAAGAGAGGGAGGGAGCTTGCTGAAGGGATGTGATGTGGGGCCATGCTCGTCTCCTCCAGTGCAAGGTGGTGCCGAGCCGAGCCAATGTGGTGGAGGAGATCAGCTGATCTGAGAAGAAATCTGCGACTCGAAAAGGCAAGGTGGCGGTAACTACAGGTGGGGCCGTTGTTCGTGACGTAGACATTCGTTTGTAACTCTCGCATTACCGAGGCTCAGGTGCTTTCGCAGAGGCTCGAGAATGTCGCTTGTGCGACTTATTCCTCCAGTGTGGAGAGATGCGCAGTCCCCAAACCAACATGCGATTCGGTAAAGTTCAATCAAATTTCACCAGAACAAGCAGACAAGTTTCCCCGACTTGTCTGAATCCAGACCAGACCACCAGACCCCGTTTGGTTGGCTATCCTTCGCTCTTTTCCACAAACAGCGGAGTCGCAACCAATGGTGTTTCGAAGCGAAGCCGTCGCGCAGGTTGGGCTGCGGTCGTCAACCTCAAGTATAACGTCATTTCCTGGACGTCGATTGGTGTGTGACCGTCAACCAATGCTGATTACAATGGCAGCATCCTCGATGAAGATTGGCGAGGAGGCGAACGGCGAACGACTAATCGCCCAGCTCGCCCTTGTTGGTTGTACCACACTGCACATGCATTGCCTGCCTAAGCAGTTTTTCTCGCGAAACCGGACGAAACGGTTCAACGATTCGGTCTGACCGACCATCTCCCTCCCACCAACCTCAAAATACACGATGACGGACGTTCCAATAAACGATGCAAGACAATTCTTTATTCAGGTATGTAAGACTACATTACTGCTAGAATATGCACTTTGTACGAGGTTTATACCACCAATGGATGGGCACAATCATGTATATAATTCAGGTATAGTATTATGGCACGTCATCTGCGAAATAATATGATCCTAGTCCAAGCGGCTGGATATATCAGCGAGAAAAAATCGGAACAGCAGCATGTTCAATTGGCATTCTCATGGATTAAGATACGAGTGACATATGAGTCGAAGTGTTCATGTTTCAAAACAAGCACAATGGACAGTGTAGCAATTCGCCAGACTGGAAGGCAAGGTGATCGATGTCTCTTCAATCAAAGGGAAACACGTGGCTGCCACATCCACTTCGAACATCCCCCAAACCACATCTTCTCCTCCTCGCACACTTTTCCGGAGAAAACCTTTCTCTGGGATCCCCTTGGGATTGTCCGAAAAAACTCGACTCCCTCTCCCCTCACATTCCTCCGAGGGCTTTCAGGCTCCATAGCCTTTCAGATCCTAGTCTTCAGTGTCGTACCTGAGGCACTGTAAGCAGGACCATTCCCGAGTTGCTTTCCATCTAACTCGTTGCCTCGTCCTAAGTCGAGGTTTCGTTTCGCACTTTGACCGGCTGTTATCGGCGCATTCAGTCGCCAGCACGTAGAATACGAACGGACTGGTGATTTTAGTCTGAAGTTTTTTTCTCTCCCCCACAGCCCGAGGAAACGCGTAAAGGATATCGATTTAGAACAAAGTTTTTATACCTGCTGCTAGTAGTAGATTTTTGCTGCAACTCTGGTGATCAAGATCTAGACCCGAGGCGAGTGATCCACCGAAGCATGGCCAAGCCGGCTCCGCAAAAGAAAGGCGCAGCTGCCGCTGCACCTGCTGCCACGTCAGCAGCAGCGAGTGAAGCGGCAGCCAATCAGCAACTGGCCGTTGATCTGATGCAGAAATGGGAGCGGCGAAACGATCCTGTCGAGATCGACGACTCGGAGCAGCCGAAGTACGTGCGCAAGGGACCAGCGACGGGGAAGGAGCTAGCTGCGAACAAGAAGGTACGACAGGCAGATGTGGCCGGTTTGTTGAGATCGACGACTCGGAGCAGCCGAAGTACGTGCACAAGGGACCAGCGACGGGGAAGGAGCTAGCCGCGAACAAGAAGGTACGACAGGCAGATGTGGCCGGTTTGTTGAGATCGACGACTCGGAGCAGCCGAAGTACGTGCACAAGGGACCAGCGACGGGGAAGGAGCTAGCCGCGAACAAGAAGGTACGACAGGCAGATGTGGCCGGTTTGTTGAGATCGACGACTCGGAGCAGCCGAAGTACGTGCACAAGGGACCAGCGACGGGGAAGGAGCTAGCCGCGAACAAGAAGGTACGACAGGCAGATGTGGCCGGTTTGTTGAGATCGACGACTCGGAGCAGCCGAAGTACGTGCGCAAGGGACCAGCGACAGGGAAGGAGCTAGCCGCGAACAAGAAGGTACGACAGGCAGATGTGGCCGGTTTGCCGAGATCGACGACTCGGAGCAGCCGAAGTACGTGCGCAAGGGACCAGCGACCGCGAAGGAGCTAGCCAAAAACAAGCAGGTACGACAAGCAGAGATGGTCGGCTATGGCATCAGGTGCTGGGTAGGAAATGACGTGGCATCAGGTGCTGGGAAGGAGGAATAGATTGGTAATGTTGTGCCGCGCGGCCTTACGCGGCGGCAGAGGGGAAAATCCGTCGGCATTCCTTCCTCCCCACTCCCCTCCTCTCCGCCTTGTCTGCCTCTCTCCTTTCCGCAGCTGTACCAGCAGGTGGCGCCGCATGACGCAGTTCACTCCTCCCCCCCCCCGGTCCCCTCTCCCCCAACCCACCCTCGTCGTCCCCCCTCCCCCTTCCCCCCCACCCCCTCTCCCCTCCTTTCCCCCCTCAGCTCCGCAGCTATTCCAACAGGCGGCCAACAGCCGCATGACGCAGTTCACTCCCATCCCCCGCAACCCTCCCTCGTTCTCCCCCCCCTTCCCCCCCTCTTCCCCCTCTTTTCTCCGCACCACAGCTGTACCAGAAGGTGGCCAACAGCCGCATGACGCTTCCCCTTCCACACCCCCCTTGCCTCCCCCCGCTCCCCCCGTTCCCCCTCCTGACCGCAGCTGTACCAGAAGGTGGCCAACAGCCGCATGACGCAGTTTCTGCTCAAGTCCGAGGAGCTAGCGCGGCGGCAGCAGGAGGAGGAGATCCGCCGGCACTCCGCGCCGCTGCACGCGGAGGACAAGGGGCTGTGGAAGAAGATGCCGCTCATTCCCGGTACGCGGTAGCGGTTGGGCGTGTGCGTGCTGGTATTGGCAGTGGCAGCAAGGAGGGGGCGGGCAACCTTCTCGTTTCTCTTCCCCTCACATCCTTCTTTCTCCTCTTCTCCCCTCACCCCCGGCCCCCCCTCCCCCCACCCAACCCTCCCCGCTCTCCTCCCCTCACGCAGCCCCCTTCGGCACGGGCAAGTTGGTGCGGCTGGGCTTAGCGGGCAACAAGGAGAAGGCGGGCAAACCTTTCCCCTCCCACCCATCTTTCTCCTCTTCTCCACCCCCTCCCCCCGTTCCACCTCCCTTCTTCCGCCCCCTCCCACCCAGCCCCCTTCGGCACGGGAAAACTGGTGCGGCTGGGCCTGGCGGGCAACAAGGAGAAGGCGGGCAACGTGTTTCTCGATTTCTTCCCCTCACACCACACTCCTCCCAATCCTGCCCAACCCTACCCTCCTCCCTCACACCAGCCCCCTTCGGCACGGGCAAGTTGGTTCGCCTAGGACTGGCGGGCAACAAGGAGAAGGCGGGCAACGTGTTTCCGCTCACCTCACACCCCTCATGCTCCTCCCCCGCCCTTCGTCTCATTCGCCCTCCCACCAGCCCTTACACCTATCTTTCTCCTCTTCCCCCTCCCTTTCCCCCCCTTTCCCCCCACTCTCCTCCCTCCCACCCAGCCCCCTTTGGCACGGGCAAGTTGGTTCGCCTAGGACTGGCGGGCAACAAGGAGAAGGCGGGCAACGTGTTTCTCGACTTCTTCAAGACATTCCACTTCGGCCTGTGGGGCTACCAGCAGCGCCCCTACCCCGCTGAGAAGCCCTTTGACATCCAGCAGGTCGTTGGGACCAAGTTCCTCGAGAAGAGATACCTCGACTGTGAGTTACTAAGTGCGGTGCAGTGTGGTATGGTGCGGTGCAGTGCGGTGCAGCGCAGTGTGGTGCAGTGCAGTGCGGTGCAGGGAGGTGTTGAGGTTACTCGGCCTGTGGGGCTACCAGCAGCGCCCCTACCCCGCTGAGAAGCCCTTTGACATCCAGCAAGTCGTGGGGACCAAGTTCCTTGAGAAGAGATACCTTGACTGTAAGTTATAGGGTGAAGTGCGGTGCAGTGCGGTGCAGTGCGGTGCAGTGCGGTGCAGAGCGGTACAGTGCGGTGCAGTGCAGCGCCCCTACCCCGCTGAGAAGCCCTTTGACATCCAGCAAGTGGTGGGGACCAAGTTCCTCGAAAAGAGATACCTCGACTGTGAGTTATGGAGTGCGGTGTAGTGCGGTGCAGTGCGGTGCAGAGGAGGTGTTGTGGTTACTCGGCCTGTGGGGCTACCAGCAGCGCTGACATCCAGCAAGTGGTGGGCACCAAGTTCCTCGAGAAGAGATACCTCGACTGTGAGTTATAGGGTGTTGTGCGGTGCAGTGCGGTGCGGTGCAATGCGGTACAATGGGGTGCAGTGCAGGGGGGTGGTGTGGTTGTATATAACTTTCCACTCCGACCTGTGGGGCTACCAGCAGCGCCCCTACCCCGCTGAGAAGCCCTTCGACATCCAGCAAGTCGTGGGAACCAAGTTCCTTGAAAAGAGATACCTCGACTGTGAGTTACTGAGTGCCGTGCAGTGTGGTACGGTGCAGTGAGGTGCAGTGAAGTGCGGTGC